GCGCCCACCAGCGCGCCGGGCCTGCAGTTTGCCTGCGCCCGGCAGCCCGAGCTCGCCATGATGCATTGCTCTTACTGGGACCACGACAGCAAGGCCAGCGCTCTCCACTCGCGCCTCGACCTCTAAGATCCCACCGCACCTCGGCGCGGATGGATGAGAGGACGCATACAGGGACGCAAGACGCCGACCTTGGTTGTAGCCGCCAGCTGGACCGTGCGCCTGTTGCGGCGGCCTCTGGAGCCAGCGCCCACGGCCCGTCTGCCCCTCTTCGCACCCCTCAGCAACCCTCTCTCTCTTTGTCTCCTCCGCTTCGCCTCCTGTGCTCGCTATTCTGCCCTCTATGCCCTTGGGCACCCCACCCCACTCCACCCCCCGCCCCGAGTCTGCAGGCAGCCTTTCCGCGTGCTTTCTGTTTGTCTCCTCCCGGTGCCTCAGCGTCTGGGCTGGACACCCTGAGCTAAAATTCACCGTGAAGAGAAAGCGCCCGAGGCCGAGGTGCAGCCGGGCGCCAGCGGCACAGACCCCTTGACTGTCGATCACAGAACGGTGCGCTCGTGCTCGGCTTTCCCCGCCCGGCTGCCGCGCAGTCCTTGGCTAAAAGCGCGGCGCGGGGCCGGCCCTGTGACCCGCGCCTCGGGAAAAAGGGACGAACGTGTCTGTTTGCTCCGCGAGCCCTCTTGGAGCTGTTCGGAAGCCTCTTGCTCCGGGGCCCACTGGACGAGGCGGGGGTGGGCCCGAGCGGGGAGCCGGAGCAGCCTCGCTCCGCCGCCTGCGGCCGGGTGTCGGGTTTACACCACATTCCAGCCGAGAGGGAGGCTGCGTTTCCTGCGCTCTCCATCCTGGCGCTTCAGGAACCTCCAGGAACCGCGACTGGCTGGCTAATGTTTTGCTAAAACGGGCGGTGGGGCTTTTTTAGATAACATTAAAAATATATTTTTAAGGAAAAAAAAATCACCGGGAGAACTGGAGAAGTATTGTGGCCTTGGAGTTTGCGAAATCAGAAGTGTCAGTGATGACCCCCATCTTTTGGGAGATTTGAAGTAGAATTCCTGTAGGACCTTCAAAAACCTGTGTTCAGAGAGGTAGGAGAAAACGCTCAGTAAAAAGATGGTTTCTTCTACGAATTGAAATTTTCTCGTTTCCTCATCTAAAAACAAAACTAAAAAAAAACAAACAAACAAATTTCCCCAGATCTTTCCGTGCAAGCCGGGTGTGCCGGGAGCGCTTGGCCTGCCTGGCAGACTCAGCAGGGATGGGATGGCTCGTCCCTCTTACAGATTTTTTTTTTCCACAAACGTCTTGCTTCTCCCAACTTGGGAAGAAGGAGAAATGTGTAACCCAGCAGCGACCGGCCTAGACGGTCTTGTGACCCCGGAGCCAGCCGGCCGGAGTACCCTAAACCTGGTTGTTCTGTAGTGTGTCGTTCGGGGGACCAAATTTTCTAGAGAGAACTAGAGCACTTTGCTGTATTTTTTAGCCTTGACCATTCCCGAATAAATTTTTGTTCTTTCTTTCAACACGGACTTACATTCGCTCCGTTGTGCCTAAGTCTGTTCAACAGCTAGTTAATAGAAGGGGATTTTCAGCAAAATTTTATGCTTTTTAGAGTGATCCAAACAAGGGTTGAGGGCAAGGGAGTGGGGGACATTTGTGGTTGTCGCTGCTGCTTTGTTTCTCGGTGGTTGTTTTCTGTGTCATCGCTAATATGTTGGGCTGTTTAATGTCCTCAGAGAAACATTATCTGCCGTGGTTCGGTTCACAAGGCACGACTATAGGTAGAATTTGTTCTGTTTTTGCACCTATGCAAGTTCGTATTTTACCTCTTACTCCAACTAGGTGTGTGGGCTGTGTTATCATTATATTTGTTCTCATATTTCTAAAATTTTTGAGTTTCAGAAAAGTTTATTCCAAATCGATAAAATCCTGGTTGTGGATGTGCTGTGTAAACTGCAAACCTCTGTACAGATAAATGTAAGGAGTGATTGGTTACTCTATTATTTTTAATAGTAAGAATTCATTTACCTTGAGATATGAGTAAGAGGTATGAGAGTCTCAGAGAGGGAACATATTGTGTGGCTGTAGAAATCTGATTCTCTCTCTCTGTCTCTCTCGCTCACTTTCTCTTTCTTCCTTTACTGAGACTCTTCAAATAAGGAATTAAAACCGGGGCCTCCCTGCAAGCCTACAGTCGTTTGGCCTGGTTTCCCTCCCGGAGCTCCGAGGATGATTACGGGTGGTTGGCCTTCAATTCACTGATGGGATGACAGGTATCAACCAGTGCTCGCCTGGCCACAGTCTCTCAACGCCCTCCCCCACCCCTCCGGGCAAAACCTGGAGGACAGTGATTTCTGGTCTAGGCCGGCCAGTGGGCTGAGAGCGATTGTTCAGCTGCAGGGGAGGAGACTGCAAACCTCTCATTTCAGCTCACTGGTGGTCTCTGGCCGTGGTGGAAATCCGTGTTGTGTGTAGTTAGGCCCAAGGGGAAGCGGAGACCGCTCAAGGAGCCCCCTCCTCCCTCCTGCTTCCCGAGGGAGGGTGGAAGCAGAAGGACAAAGCCATGTACTGGTTCTGAAGGACATCGCCCCAGACTAGGACAGGAGCCTGCCAAGAGCAGAGATTAGCTAGCTGGAAAGAGAGGAAGAGTGAGATGAGCAGGCTGGGGAGGGACGCTGGGAGGCCGACATGCAGCCGGAAGCATGAGAGGCTGGTCAGGCCTGGTGTGGGGGGGCTTCCCGTGGCCTGCTGCTGCACTGTCTGGCTAAGGAAAGTTGCAGTGAATAAAGTGGGCTGCTGCTCACTTGTCTGTGTATGCTTTCTGTGGTGTGAAAATGATCCTGTGGGCAGTTGTGCAGTCTGTACAGTTGTGTGCACAGTGTCAGTTGTGTGCTGGTGACAAAGTGGGAGGTGCATGCATCTGTCATTCTTCTGCAGAGGGGGCATATATTTTGGGCATTGTAATACTCACGTGGCTAACACTTAGAGTGCTTCCTGGGATGCACAGTGTGTGTTGCATTCACACCTCATCAGTGATGTGTGCAGTTATGATCCAGGTGTATTATCAAGCTGGCTGAACAGTAACAGAGAATATGTGCAAAGCCTTTCCCTTCAGCTGGTAGAGGCTCCCTCTTTCAAGGTTGTTGAGACCACCTCCCCC